ATCTATCTATCTATCTATCTATCTATCTATCTATCTATCTATCTATCTTGAAAAGAGCCATTATCCTTCTTCAACATCAGTATGAGATGGGGCAGAAATATTCATCCTTACAGGATTGTAACAATTACTATTGAGTCAGTTTTATCTAAAGATTAAAAGCCATAGGCTAGAAACTGGGAGATTGAGTGCCTTATCATTGGATGACTTTGGGTGAGTCATTCTTTTCAGGTTTAGGAATAAAGCAATAGTAAGCAAGAGAAATATTGCCAAGAAAATTGTATGGATTTATGCAGCCAATCACCAGGAATCATGACTGATTCAAAAGTCATCATCATATCATCATCGTCATCATCATCTTGAAATCATAGATGAAAAGAGCTCTGCATAATCTAAAAATACATTTCCTATTGTATGATATGCCCAAGGCTTGGTAAACACTTCAACACTTTTGCCTACTCTACATCCCCTTACACTGTCAAATTACCAATAGCCATTCAAGATCAACTCTTAAGAGCATCCTTAAGCATGATGTTCAAGGTATCAATTGAAAACATACACGAATGACTGTTGGAGTACATTATTAAACAATAGAGCTCTGCACTGTCAGGGCTTGCTAGAAAATCAAGTATAAATTTTAAACCTGAGCACAGTAGCAGGCTATAAGATTAGCCACTTATCTCCAAATAAATAATTTAAGAGCCATATAGGATGCCCAGTGAAAGCTTGCACTTGGTTGAATTGTTTTACTTTCCCTTGACAGGTTTATTTCTATTGGATTTGCCGAGATCCATCTGCCTTTGAGTGGTTTGCTGATCTCCTGTGCTTGCTGGAAGCACAAATGGCTAAGAAAGGGAAAGCCTATTTTCTAAGCTATCACATATTTCTTACCGACTGGGATGAAAGTCAGGTATAAATGAAATCTTCTGGGACTGAGTTACTGCATCTTATTTTTCTAGGACTGCAGCCTAAGGAACAGTAATCAAATGAAGGCTTAATCGCATCAAGCACGGCTTTCTTAAAATGAATCATACTTACATTTGTCTTTTGAAAGACTCTGTTCCCAGTGCAGTGTCACAGAGTCCCAGCTATGCCAAAGCAAATGTCAAAGCTGGGTTTAATGCCAAAGTTCTCAGTAACTGCGGGAGTATCCAGATCTGTGATTGCTCTCCAAAGCCCTTTTCTTCCCTTCTCATCTATCATTCTCCTCTCCCTTCCTCCCTGTCCTGAGGCTCAGCTAGCTACCAATTCACTCAATCTGCTGATATCACTGAACTTTTCTTTATGGTGCTAGAGTACCGGTGTCACAGCTTGTACTTCAGTTCCTACATGCTATTTGTGGGGACGGGGTTGATAGATGAGCCTATATGAAATAAATGTCAACCCTGTTGCTGGAGAACAAGGAAAGACTTGAAGCTGCCTTTAAAGACACCTAAGCATGAGTTTGGACAGATTCACCTCAGATGCTGGTTCCATCAGTCAATGGCACTTCACTGGAGAACCTTTGGGCCATCATACTTAATTATCATAATATTGGGTGATGTTTTAACATTTACATGGATTAATCTTTTTCTAACAAAAAAGGATGGAAGCAGACTTTTCTGCTCTTTCTTTGCTCCAAGAACCTCACAAAGAATCCTCTTACCTAGGGCTGTCAAACTTCCAGCCCATGGGCTGGATGCATCACATGCTGGCCATGCCCACGTCCAGCTTAGCAAAGCTTGGGGGGAAGTCACCCCAACAATCACAACAATCAGTGATGCCACTGTAACGACATGAGTTTGATACCCCTGCTCTAACAGTTGGAAGATCTAGCTGATTGGCATAAAGTGAGAGATGGGAAACAGAATCACTGAAAGTTGACAGAATGAACCCAAATTTCAGAGAATCTCCCTCCCTCCCTTTCATCTCATCTCTCTATATCTTTCAATTGGTTCCTCTGTTCTCTGAGCAGTCTTTGGAGTCCCTCAGAGGAACCCTGAATGGGAATCAAGGACTGGGAAATATCTGATCTTTTCCCATTATATCTATATATTCATTTGTCCAGTAGTAATATTCTCTTTCTTCTTAATTCTGAAATAATGACTTTTTGATCCACTGCAATATAGGCTATGCACATTGCCTTGCATTACGAGAAAAAGGTGGATGTAATTACTGGCTTGAGACAGAAAACTTTCTATGGGAGACCAAATTGGGACACTGAATTCAAACAAATAGCAGAAAATCATCCTGGGTAAGGCATGTTAGCAACTCCTGATGATATCACCATGCTATGTTTTTCCCAATGTTACAAAGATAGGAAGGAAACTTGTTCTTTGATATGTTTAAGTTGGAAATTTATACTAAAAGCATATTTATGTGTTATAATGCTTTCAAGGAAGAAATCTTGAGTAGGCAATGCCATCAAATCTAATTTTTGGACATGAAAATCTAATGTTTGAAAGTATTTCAGCTTCTTGGCATTTATCCAGCTATAATTGAAAGCCCCAATCCAATTATTGTTAAACACAAAGGACAAAGTAACATTAATTTTCATTGAAAATGGTTATTAAAAAGATAAACAGTGAGGTCTTTTTTCTTAGAATGTCAAGGATGTGTTTGTTCCCCAATCTCATTGGCTGTGGATGTAAGGACAATGCTGTTATGTTATTAGTTCATCTCAGCTTGAAAGGTCTAAGTTGAATACCAGAGGATTGGGATGGGTGTTGTTTTTGGGGGCTAGAAAGTCTTAGAAAAGCTTCTTTGTTCCCAGAGAGTTCTGAAGCAATCATTACAACTGCTAACTTCAGAAAAGAGGAAGAAAAATAGTTCTGATTACTTATCAGACCCCAATATTTAATTATCTGTTGATCAGAAACTAAAATCAGTGCCATGGAAAGGAAGAAAGAATTGGACTATTTTTAAGATATGCAAACGAAGAAAAAAAAATAGTGCAAACCTTGTCTGATTGCTCAGAAATAAACTCCATCGACTTCCGGTTTGAGCCTCTTCGCGGACAGACCGAAACCACGATCGTGCCTGCTTTCAATCCGTGCTCGCCGCTGTAACACCCCGAGCCGGCTGGTTTCGGGGCTAAGCCACCCCATAGAGGTGGTGAAGAGGGGAGAGACTGCCAGCAGGGTTGAGGAGAGCCACATCTCTCCTCCTCAGCTGGCCATTACTCCCTTTCCCGAAGGCGGTTGCAGCAGTGGTCAGAAATGGCCATCTCAAATAAGAACTCAACCGGAAAAGAATGTGCAGGAGGAAGATAAGAACAGAAAGTTTTGGTTGACCAGGTTAAACTGCAAAAGCCACAACTAAGGTACCCTGGAATTTAAACTAAAAAAACAGTAACATTGTTCCCAAAGAAGATTCTGAAGCAGCGAAGGAGAGAGAAAAGGGAAAGGATTTGGTTTTTTTTTCTTCTCTCCTTTTCCCTATACTGACAGCTAAGAGATCTAAATAACAAATTGGAAAAAAAATCCACTTTGACATCAATAGGCATTTAACCTGAAAATAAAATGTCAAAGGGATAATAAAGATTTCTGGATACTTAAAACCTTTTAAAAGCAGGAAAGGAGAGAAAAAGAATAAAAGGGCAGGATCTGGAAAAAAGGGAGGAATTAAAAGGAATTTACAGTAAAACCTCAACAAGACTTCTGAAAGATACATTTTAACTGAAACTTGGCTACAAAATAGTAGAATCCCAGGAAGAGAAAGGAAAAAAGAAGCATGAAGAAACAGCTTGGGAGTATTTGGATTATTTGGTGATCTCTGGATTTTTGGTTATTGCATTTGAATGACTAAAATCGATCGGGTGGTTGTTTAAAAGTGTTTTAAAATGGCACTACTTTTAGATGAACTGAAAATGGAACTTAAAAAGTACAAAGAAGATGCACAAGAAGGGAGAGGTTCTTTTGGCTTCGTATTTTGATTCTTAGAAATGGAGATCTCGAACTATGAGAAACAACAAGAAATGCCTGCAGAAGAAGAAGACTGGGACAAAGAAGAAGCCATCTTTAATGAACAAGTAATTTTATGCGGGGGGGGGAAGGAAAGGGGGGGAAAGAGAATGAAAAGTTTAAGATTTGAAAAAACAACCAAGAAAAGGACTAATAACTTGAAAAATACATATAATATTAGAAAGGAACAGAAGAGAGGAATACAGAAGAGAGAATTGGAACTAGAGAGACAAGGGGGTAGAAGGGGGAGGGAGAAGAAGAGAGGGAAGAAGGAAAGGAAAAGAAGTTATAAAGGACAGAAACAAGATATGGAGAAACAGGGCCTATTTAGAGATAACGGGTGAAATTTTAATTGAAAAAGGGATTCTGCAAAGGTACATAAGATAATATTGTTATATTAGAAATAGAAATAATTTTAGAAAATATGAAACAATGTGATTAAAATGATGGATAAAATAGTTATTGTAATCTAGTGAAGTGTTTGTTAGTAAATAAATGAAATAACATGAATGAGAGAATTGAATTAGGAAAGGATGGGAACATTTTAATTATTTAATGTTTTATAAAATATAAGGGAAGAGAAATAGGGGAAAAAAATAATTACCGAAAGCTTATAAGTGTTCCCAAGGAAGTATGATATTTAATTGAAAAGTAATGTTAAAGATGTTAAGACTTTAATGAATATTAATGATAGAATTGAATTGGGATGAAATGAGTGTTTTAATTACATATATTTATAATCACTTTTTAAGAATATAGTGGGTATTTTAAGAATGTACCAAGCAGAATTCGATTGGAAGTTATGTATTATATTGAATGTTATAACCTCAAGGTATATATTGAAGCTTAAATAAGAGTTGAATGGATAAAATTAAAAGATATAAAGGTGTCATACTCCAATTAGTAACAACAGGAGAAAATTTGTTTAATGAGAAAAGAAAATATGAAATTGAAACAGGACAGACAAAAGTATAAATATAATGATTTGAATTGAGATAATTAAAATAAAATTGAGAAAATTAAGAGAGGAGAAAAACTAAGTAGAAAACATAAAACAGTAATAAGATATGGAATAGAACATCAAAGTGAGCATGAAATAGAGTTTGTGTCTGTATGAAGAAGTGTAACCCGGGACCATGCTATTTTCAAAAAAAGATGTTTTATTTGTACTATGTTTTTTTTGTGAAAACCCAAACAAAATTTTCAAAAAAGAAAGAAAGAAAGAAACTCCATCAATTTCAGCAGACCATAATATATGTAACAAGATTAGCAGATTCTTTAAAATAGTATGTAACACATACAATTTTATAAGGGGAAACTATAATTAGACAATATAACCTAGTCGATATTTAATCTAAGAATTGCTAAATAGGGATTTGTGCAGGACAGAAAAATTCTGAAAATTATCTATGATAAATTTTGTGAAATATACAGTAAAGTTTATAGATGTCTAGTATTCATAGCTGTGAAAGTTGGACAATAAGGAAGGTTGAGTGCCAAAGAATTGAGTCCTCTGAACCAGTGGTGGGATTCAAATTATTTTACTATCGGTTCTGTGGATATGGCAGGGGAAGGATGCTGCAAAATCTCCAATCAGAGGTGGTATTTGCCAGTTCTCTGAACTACTCAAAATTTCCGCTACCAGTCCTCCAGAACTGGTCAGAACCTGCTGAATACTAGCTCTGCTTTGAACTATGGTGCTGGAGAAAACTCCTGCAATTCCCTTGGACTGCAAGGTGATCAAACTGGTCAGTCCTAGAGGAGATCAACCCTGACTGTTCTTTAGAAGGCCAGATCCTGAAGATGAAAACTCAAATATTTTGGCCACATAATAAGAAGGAAGGACTCACTGGAGAAGAGCCTAATGCTGGGAAAGATTGAGGGCAATAGAAGAAGGGGACAGCTAAGAATGAGGTGGCTGGATGGAGTCACTGAAGCAGTTGTTGTGAATTTAAATGATTTCCGGGGGATAGTAGAGGAAAGGAAGGCCGAGAGGATCGTTGTCCATGGCATCACGATAGGTCAACAATTACAGTAACAACAATTATTCATAGATGTCTCCTATTAAAATCTGTTCTCTATTTTCTGAGTGAAGATAATATGAAAAAATTAAATGGGTATCTTCCATTTATTATATTGACATAATTCCTCATGTGAGGACTCAGCAAATCTTCTGAGCAATGTAACAATGTATTTATTTATAAGTAATCCTCACTTACCCATTACTCATTCAGCAACCATTCCACGTTATGATGGCACTGAAAAAGGACTTATGAATGGTAATCAAAGTTGCAGTTGTCACAGCATCCCTATGATCACATGATCACAATTCGACAGCATATATTGATGATAGTCATAATGTCAGGTCACATAAATTACCATTATAACCTTCCTAGCCACTTCCAATGAGCATGTCAAAGTCAATGGGCACAGTAGAAAGTTGTAAGTCACAATCATGTGATATCATGTTTAATGGCTGATAGCTATTTGTTTCATGATTGATGTCATAAGTCAGTGTAGTCATGTGACATTTCACTTAATGACTTCGCTGCTTAGTGATTGAGTTGTTGGTCCAAACTGCAGGGAGGATTATCTGTATTTCTAATATTTCTAATAGGCCTAATAAGGGATTGATTCTAAGATAAAACTGACATCACATACTCTATACTCTTTATAACTTCCAAAGCTTGGCTAGATATCTACTGTGTTTCAAAACCTGATCAATACATGTGGACTACAACTTTACCACAGGTGTAGCCAATAACAAAATTGTGAAATTCTCTCTTCAAGAAATCTTGACAGGTACAAGATTATTATTCTTACTAACACTGAAATACCTTTAAAGGCAAAGTCATTAAAGCAATTAACATCAGCTAAATACATTTAGAATTTAAAAAGAAAAATGGAATTAAAAACAATCGTTCTAATTAAAAATAATTTCATTCCTAACAACTGAGACACTTAAAAACCTAGCTTGGAGCATACTATCAACTAAACAGTGATTAAGCTTTGCAAGTCCTTTAAACATTGATAATATTGATGTTTCTTCCCTGTCTCCCTTCTGGGAAGGATTTCTACACATTTGGGATCACTGCAAAAAACGTCCTGTAATAAATGTTGATAGTTGTCCAATAGTCAAGACAGTAAGTCTAAAAGCCACAATGTCACATGTCACAATACCATCATGATTTCCATAATAACGTCATGATGCATTGTGTAGGTAGTGATATTCTCCAGGGATGGGAAGATGTGGAAGCTTTTTTTCAAAAGGTTTTTAAATGTTGCCTCTTTTGTATTTTACTGACACAAAGACATTGCTGTACCACTTCAGTCATATTATTGTGATCCCTTTCAGATCTCCTGCTTCTAACATATGTGTATAATTTTTCTATTCAAGGAAAGGGTTCTTAATCGTAATTTGTGAATCTTGATTTTCATTGCAGCAACCGCATTGGTGTGTTCTTTTGTGGATCTAAAACTCTTTCTCGGAATCTTCAAAAGATGTGCAACCGGTATTCATCCACTGATCCAAGAGGCATTCAATTTTATTATAACAAGGAAAGTTTCTAGAACTTCTTTTTAAAATGATAGCTGATAATTGCATGCTTGGAGCAATGGAAATGCATCATTTTGAAACGAGTGTTTGTTATTCAGTAAAGGAACTTATATCTCTATTACTATGAATGCAGATACTTTAAAATACCTTAAATTCTTAAATTTTATGCCCTATTTGATTATAGGCTGCATGCTTTATTATTTCCTGTAAATCATTGATAAGAGCCCTCTGGAAATAGAATGGATTATAATTTAAAAAAAATAATAATAATCCAGGAAACATAGACATCAAGACTAAGTTTGTTTCTCTTCATTAGCTTTGAATAAGACACAATTTATGTGTAGTTTTCACTTCAGAAGCATAAGAAGACTCTCTGGTTTTACTAGCTGAGCTGGTGACATATCTGAAGACAGTCTCTGAAAATACCAGAATGATCTGGATAGAGGTTCTCAATATTCTCTTGATCAGTGGTGGGATTAAAAATTTTTTTACTACCATTTCTGTAGGCGTGGCTTGGTGGGCATGATGTGGTGTGGCTTGGTGGGTGTGGAATGGCTCGATGGGTGTAGCAAGGGAAGGATATTGTTTTTTGTGCCAAATAACACAAAACATATGCCATACTCTAAGTATAAGTATTTAAATCCCTGCCATCAGTGGTGGTATTCAAAATTTTTTTTACTACCGGTTCTATGGCTGTGGCTTGGTGGGCATGGCGTGGCTTGGTGGGTGTGGCGTGGCTTGATGGCAGGGCAGGGGAAGGACACTGCAAAACCCCCATTCCCTCCCCACCCCACTAACCTGCTTTCCAGCTCTGTTCTCCTGTGCAGGGCAATAAAATAAATAAAATAAAATAAATAAAATCAGGAGGCAGAGAATAGATGGGGGAAGGACCAGTTAGAGGTGGCATTTGCCAGTTCTCCAAACTACTTAAAATTTCTACTACTGGTTCTCCAGAACTGGTCAGAACCTGCTGAATGCCACCTCTGCTCTTGATGTTTTCGTCTATCTGCAAAGCTAATCTATATCATACCCTTTAAAGTATGAACTTTTCCCCTAACTCTGTACCTATGTGCAGCCTGCCATCAAAATGTACTAAATCTGATCATAATAGAATAACATCCACTTTGATAATTTGAGGTTTATTTGTAGCTATTTTCCATTCAAAATAAGGTACAGGGGGTCCTCACCTTACAACCACAATTGAGTCCAAAATGTAGGTTGTGAAGTGAGATATTTAAGTGAGTTTTGTCCCATTTTACGACTTGTCTTGCCACATTGGTTAAGCTAATCACTGTGGTTGTTAAATTAGTAACACCATTGTTAATCGAATCTGGCTTCCCCATTGATTTTGCTTGTTGGAAGATCACTAAAGGAGATCATGTGACACTTCAACTGTCATAAACATGAACCAACTGTCAAGCATCCAAAAGTAAATCATATGACCATGGGGATGCTGCAATGGTCATAAATGTGAAAAATGGTCACATAAGTCACTTTTTTCAGTGCTGTTGTAACTTTGGTCACTAAATGAACTGTTTTTTTCATGGTAAATAGTTTTATTTGTAAAATAGCATACAAAGAAAATACAAAAATAAATAGTTGGGAAAATAGGGAAGGGAAAAGGAAAAGGGGAAAGGGAGGGAAGGAAAAAAAGCCATTGACTTCCAACTCCCTTTGGTGCAGTAGAATAAGGCATTAACACAGTGGTGGGATTCAAAAATTTTTTACTACCGGTTCTGAGGGCATGGCTTGGTGGGCGTGGCAGGGGAAGGACACTGTAAAATCTCCACTCAGAGGTGATATTTGCCGGTTCTCTGAACTACTCAAAATGTCCGCTACTGGTTCTCCAGAACTGGTCAGAACCTGCTGAATACCATCTCTGCATTAACATCAAACCTCAACTTTTTTACTTTTACATAATTGTACCAACTAGCCATTTCTATAACAACAATGTTTCTATCTAATTGGTAAAACCCAAAATCAAATTTTCATTTTTTTTCCCACCTCAAGCACAAAGTCCAGAAGCGGTTTCCAAAAAGAAATAAAGGTATTTGTATTTTTTTTCCCTTGATCAAAACAGTCAATTTAGCTGTCTCTGCTAACTCCATCAGTCTTTTGCAGTCAGTCATCCACTGTGGGCATCAACGTGACTTTCCATTGCTGTGCATAAAGTGGTCACTAAATGAACTGTTGTACATCAAGGACTACCTGTAGAGCTTCTTTGTTTTGCTGAAACTGTCCAAAATTTTAATGTATCTGATAGTTTCTCCCGAAGGGATTCACTCTGTTTTACATCAATTAATATTTCATCCCCCAAAGGCTCAAGAACTATCAATTAATTTTATTTAGAAGATAGAAGTTCATCAGCTGGGTACCAGCACATCATTTGTAAATGAGATTAGATTTATTATACTTGTTTATCACTAACAGTTGAAAAGGAGATAATGAAGACACCACAATGCTGGCTCCCTCGGCCAAGTCCTCAAAACCCTTCATTTATTTATTGACTGTTCAAACTTACAACAGCAAGGACAAAAGGGACTTATTACCATTTGTCATATTTATAACTCTTGCAGCATCACCATGCTGACGTGATCAAAATTCAAGCCCTTGACAAGTGGCACGTGTTTATGACAGTCACCGTGTCCCGGATTGTGTGATCACCATTTGTCAGCTTCTGATAAGCACAATCGACGAGGGAAGCCAGATTTGCTTAATGATCACATGATTCATTTAACAGCTTTAATGTTCATCTCCCTTTCCTGGCTGAGCGAGCCAGCATTGTCCAAAGACAATTTCCATAGTCACATGGCCAGCATGGCTATATGCCAAAGAATGGCCAGCATGGAACAGTGTTACCTTCCCATCAAAGTGGTACGTATTAATCTACTTGCATTTGCATTCTTTCCCACTGCTAAATGGGCAGGAGGGCTGCGCAGGTAATGAGAGTTCACCATGTTGCATGGAGGTCAGGCCTTGAATCCAGCCTGTTAGATCTCCAGCTAACAAGCTCAGCATCTTTAACTGCTGATCCACCACATTGCCCTTTTCTTTACACGTAGGATCATAAAAAGATGCCCTCAAGACCATTATTTCCTTTAGGTCCATGTTGTCTATAAGGCATATGTTTTTCCTAGGCCTGTCTGGAGATGCCAGGGACCTAGAGACACACGCATGACTATTCAGCTTCTATGTCTTCCCTGTTTCATCTCTTTTCTTTCACTGCAAATGCTGCTTTTTTAAAGTAGGATTACTGATAAACGGCATGCAATACATATAGGAAACGTGCCATCCTCAATCAAGTTTTATTCAAAAAAAAATAAATGAACCTATGGAAAATCCGAAGAATGAATACCCTGGATGTAGTTGAGTTCTACACTAAATAAAATAAAGGCATTTCAGTTTCACTGAAGGGAAAATCTGATAATGCATTTATTGATGTATGCAATAAAATCTGAAGTATAAAATATCCTATTTGTATTACAAGGTGAATAAGACAAATGGCAACATTACACACACACAGAGAGAGAGAGAGAGAGAGTGAGAGAGAGACCAGGATGTGTACATCAACAAACATGTAAGGCAAGCAAAAATCCGCAGAAATCTAAAAACATGTTGTCAAATGCTACTGTCTTTCGTTCGGGACCCGAATTTATGAGGAGGCTAAAAGACATCTTTGTTGTATGATGATGCATCTTTATTTCCAAATAGTTTTCATAGATGTGCGGTGTATGTAAAAATGATTAATGTAAGCCATAGACTGGGACCATGAAGCAAATGATGGATGAATCTGCGCGACTTTGCCCCAAAGCGATCCCCTTCCTTGAGCTTCAGAGAGTTACTTGACACATTTTAAATATCTTTTGATATGGTAAAGGGAGGGAGAGAGGGAGAGTGTGTGTGTGTGTGAGACAGAAAGAGGCAGAGAGAGAGAGACAGAGAGAGAGAGATCAAACAATGGGATGCTTATATGGAAACTATTATCCACTGCTGCTCGATAAAAGAGAAGAGATGATCATTTCCTGCCAATGTTGAATGATTACTTGGAAGGTCCTATATAGGAAGTAACGACATTATACTCCTATACTATTTCCTGCTTGCCCCTATTCCTGCACAATCAGTATTTAGTGTGTCTCCCGCAACAAGATCTAATGTTTTTCTTCTGGCTCAGCACGGCTTCTCCCCACTGCTTTGATTTATTCTCACTTTTGCAAATCACTGTGCTATGTGGCAGAAGATGCCTTTGGAGCCCTTGTGAGTAGTTCAGTGAGGAACAGAACTGTTATCGCTGCAAGAGGCAAATTTCACTGGCATCGGGATAAGTGTCTGAGGAAAAAAAAGAGAGAAATAGGAGGAAGATAGGCAAGGTGGAAGCACTTGAACGAAGAAATATCACTTTCTTACAGATGCCGTTAAACTCAAAAAAGATAATAGGAAAAGGATGTGGAGTACCCTGCTTGAGGGGAAAAAAAACATTTTACACATTTGTTGAGATAATAGGAGAATTCATGCATTGTTATATATTTGCATCTGGTGCATCAATATGAACGTGTGTCTGTGTGTGTCTGTGTGTGTGTGTTTAAAAAATGAAAAGTGATGAATAAGTTGCATCTATCAAATAAAGTTGAGAGAAAATAATTGTGCCATTCATTTATGTTAATATTTCCTATTTTGTTTTCTGTCATCGAAGCCAATATAGGAAAGATCAGTTCTAATTGTACACAAAAATTGAAGTATTCAAGTTATTGCTTTCTGGGGATGTTAATAGCAAAGAGTTTAAGGTGCATGCATATTTACATGCATCCAACTTCCTGTTATATTCCTCTTGATACAACCAGGGGTGGGATTCTACCAGTTCACACCTATTCACTAGAACCAGTTGTTAACATTCTAAGCAGTTCGGAGAACTGGTTGTTAGAAGAAATTACTGGCCTAATCCTGTAAGGAAGGCAGGAAGGAAACATTCTGGTGTTGCTTACAGAAACTACCTCTCCGTTAACCCTTATTACATTTT